TCCACATTCTGTAAAAAACACTGAGCTCTTACCTAACTTCTACTCTGCCTGTTTGGGTACAAGTGACAAATTCTTAAAACCACAAGATCTTCAATTTATTTGAATAAGAAGACTAATCCAAGTACAGGAGAGAGCTATGGCCTCAAATAAAAACTTCCAACTTCTTCCACAGAAAAGTAAAGTAAAATTTATGCTTTTTATATATCACATCATTTAATTATGATACTGTACTTCCCGAACTTTATATTCAAATAATTGAAGTACAGTTCAGAACATGAAACATACCTGAGTTGGGCAACATATCTAAATAATGTTACTGAGGACCATGACATTTATAAAAATGAAAAAAATAACCATTAAACTTTTGTAACAACAAATTTAGCACTCAAAGTCTTTTTATTTCAAACATAAAATAATTTGCTTTTACATTACATATCAAGCTAGACAAGCAAATGAAGGATACAAAACAATGTTGCCCATTCCTGTCCCTTACCATATATACAGTATAGTGAGCACTTGTTAATTAAAATGTTATACTGCAGTACATGTATCTACCCATTAGCTCAGTACCTTTTCCAATTCCTATGTGAAGTGTTGGATTAGGACATAAACAAACCTCACACAAAGGGGATGGGAAAAACAGAGATTGGGAAAAGAAAAATTTTTATAATAAAATAAATAAAACAAGTAGAAAATACTATCCTGTATTATATATCAACATAAAAGAGGAGTCACTACAGTACTGGTGAATTAATCAACATCTCTAGTTCACAGGACTACTGTACTACATTACTATGAATTGAAATTTTTTCTATAAATTGAGCGATTTCAAAAGGCAGGAATAAAAATATACCCCTTAAATAATCTGACACCTTTGAAAATGGTACAAAATAAAAAAGATTACTGAACAGTAAGCGGTTGCATATGATTTCCAACTGGTGGGAAAAAAATATTCAAATAGCCGCAGTACGTAAATTTGAGCATTCTGGAATGTTCAGAGGCATCAAGTACAGTTCAGATTTGATGCAATATAGGAGGCGTATATAAATGAAGCTGTTGTCATTATGAACCTTAAGTCTGGTATTTATGAGATTCTTTTATCCGCGTTGCTTTTCCTGACCGACCTTCTCAGCTTTGCGTCCAGAGTGAGGCTATTCCACTGACATATTATTTGAGACAAAATATCACACACTTTGATTTTTTGCAAAACTTTGGATTTTATACAGAAGAGAAAACACTTTATCGCGAGGATATTCAGTTGATATGAGGGAGGCCGAGGAGTCCGGTGTCTTGTATCAAAATAATAAAATGAAAGTTGGCGGTATTTGATGGAGTCTTACCAGTTGTGGGGCCGCCGCTGGCCCAGTGACCCACGGCGACCTAAAAGATCTGAAAAGCATAAAAACATGTAATCAGGTTCTGGTGCAAAATAATACAGCATCCACAGTTTTTCATAAGAGTACATATCAAATATTATCTAGAATGCCCAGACAGTTGCAGGTACCCCTTGCTTAACAAATGGGTTAGGTTTCTGGAAGCGATTTGTCAGGTGAATTTTTTGTATCTGAACAAATGGGAAAAAAGAGTAGGCTTAGTTCCCCGATGACGAAAGCACGTATATATACTAAACATGAAATCAGTTCACGAACAAAAACCTACCTAACTAATGAAATAATACCCGACTACTGTACGTAACTACTACTTTACACATTAAAAATATTAATAAATAATATCTGAATGAAAATATGCGGCTAAACACATTTAGGAAGAAGCTAAATTAAAGTTTAACACACAATACATTTTGCTAAACTTGACTGTGTGGCCTTAATACTGGCCACACAGCAATACTACCGATTTAAATTTTTGCTGGGACAAAATTCGTATAAGCGAGGGTAACTTTTTTGTTAAATAAGAGCGATGTATTAAATTTGGAAATTCGTATAAGCAAATTTTTCATATCTCGAGCGTTTGTAAGGGAGGGGATACCGTACAGTGTTCACATCTATCAAAGTGTATTACAGATTAATGAACTTTTTCAGAATAAGAGTGGGAAATATCTGCTGTTAGAAAATAATGATGTAACTTTTTTTCTTAATGTTCTCCCTCTAGTGTATCACTTGCCCACTACTGGTGCTGGGTGGTCCAGGATTGAGAGCAACATAAGTACTCTCTTTCTTCATATACTTTTCTAACTGATACAACAAATGTTTTTTTCTCTCGGTGTTCCTCTCCACAACAAGACGAAAGATATCATCAGGCTTAACTATCACTTCCTACATCCTAGTTTTACAAGTCTAAATGTCTGTGAATATATACCTTTCATTACGAACAAAGGAAAATCTAACCCCTGAATATGTCTAAATTCACCAATCCAAATATGGCAGAATATATTCATTAATTTTCTAAACTAGAAACAACTCTAAGAGTGAAAATATTGAACTCACACCACATATATTCAGTCTAGCATTCAATATTGTACAGTATGGCTTTCCTATTCATTACTTATCTCAATGAAATTTAAGAAATGTTCAACACTGCTTTTAAATGCTCAATGCCTAATCTTCTTTCTTGTCAATTATGAATTCTTAGATCGAACAAATAAGCTGTGGAAGGGGAACAACACAGCTCAACTTTACATTTTGCTATAATAGAGTAATTACAAAAATACCAAAGGACATATTCACACCATTTACAAACTCATACAATTGGAAAAAAAAAAAAAAGTTGATTTATCACTGATTGCATCAACAGAATAAACCTACCAGGCATCACCATGACTGCCCATACATACAGTAAACCCTATAAACTAAAACTGTGATAGAGTTAAACAAGAAGGTAAGTGTATACAGTATATACAATATACAAAAAAAAAAAATTAATAATAGTGATATCTCAGTTAGTCAGAACAATGATTGTGGAGCACTTCTAGAATGAGATTTCCGAATTATCGAGGCGACTCTCAAGCCAGAAAGAAATCCCTCATCCCGAAGATTTTCCGGGTAGCAGATATTTTCTTGAAATTTCAGAAAATGCATACGATTCTCATCTCATGCAGAAAAACTCCCCATCCCCCAGAATTTTTGAGTATCGGGAAAATTTTAGGTGGAAATTTTCAGAAAATTTAAATTCGACTATCGAGGAGAGCTCGGGTTTGAGGATTCCGACTATGGAGATATTACTATGACTAACTATCCTCAAAAAGTGGGTCAAGAGCTGACACATGACCTGAACTAACACCTACTGTTGTACCCAGATAAATTCTTTGTTGAGATTTGTAATGAATTTCTTTTCATACTATAGTAAGAATATCACTATTCTAGAAGCTGACCCTGATGTAGTCATCCTGAATATTTTATGTTAGTCCCTAAACTGGTAATGCATAAAGGATAATGTTATACAGTACTGTCTTTTTATAAAAGTATACAAACAATGATAAAGTTTTTGTGCTTACATGGGTACTTTCACTAGGAATAAGGAGTTAAGAGGTGTTGAATGAATTAAAATATTTGGAATCAAGTTTAACAAAGGCTATGACAGTAGAACTGGAATGAAATTTGAGTGGTATCCTGTGAGCCTTAGTGGCGAGAAGGAATAAGCCTCCAATGTATGAGTAAATATTGTAAGCAGTAAAAATATCATGAAGTATAGTACAACAATATCAAAATGATTATGAGGATAAAAAAAAGAAAATGTGAGAAATAACTGAAGGGTGTGGACATGTGGGAGATTCAGAAGGGTACAGTGCAATGAAAAGTATAGCTAGTGACTAACCTAAAATTCTAGAAAGAATTCAGTGTGTAGGTTGCAGTTCATGTGGACCTCAATCTAAACTAATCTACAAGCCTGGGACCCATTACAACTGCCCCCAAACCAAATGGAAAGGTTAGGTTGGGCCCATTTGGCCAAGGACCAGCGCAGTATGTTATGAGGACAAGCAAGACGTCCAACAGACCAATAACCTTAAAAATAACCATAACACATTCAACCATGACAAAAATCTTGAGTTTACAGCTTTTCCTAACAATTAGTTCGATCTTCACCCCATATTGTTGAGAAAAGAGCAAGACTATTAATACATATTCTAAAGGTAGAGATCTCAGCTTTGTGTAAATGTTACATCAATTTAATACATAGTATTTAGAAAACAAGCTATATATAAGTTGGCCAAAATTTCTGAGAAAAAGGCACACACAGTGGCTTGTGCATAGAGTTAATGAAAAGAATTTTACAAAAGCAAGACTGAAAGTGGCCACTCTTATCATAAGCCCTTGAACTAACACATCACCTCAGGGATCCGGACCCATGATGAGGAACAACGTATACAGTATCTGGGTATTAGTAACTTAGTACAGTACAAGTTCATGTTATATCCATGTTTAGAAACTTATCTGGTAACTCAGGAATAGTTAGATTCTTGTCACTCTTATGGGTATAAAGTTTCTAAAGACTTGAAAGGTATGAAGCAAGTAAATAAAGATCCATAATGTACATACATCTCTATACTGAAATAATAGTGCCATGTACTGCACACAAAGGTAAATGGAGCATGGAAAAATCTAAAATTCACCATGAGGTGACCTACCACACTTTATATTGCGATTGAGGGGAAGTTACATGTAGAATTCCTGATGCATTTCACCCAATGACTATCTTTGCATAAAGACCATGCACCAATATAAAAGATTGGTGGAAACATTACATTCTGTTTCAGCATCACATTAGTGTAGCAGTTGCCACCTGCAGTTTCAAGTGAATGCATCTCATTTTCTCCCCACTATGCTGTTTCCATGAATAAACAAAGCTAGCAACTCAACCACACATAAAATGTGGGGAAAACAATTCGAGCTACCTCAAAAGAGCTACAAATTTCTTAATATACTGTAACTATTTTGAACTATACATACCACAGTTGAAGCACACGCCCATAACCCCATAATAACTTTCATCCCCCGACAATGTGGATGAGTCTGAATCCGTGAAATCATCGCTGTTCCTCACTGTTATTGTTCCTGAAGTCCCAGGTACAGGAGACTGTGGCTCATTTCTTTGAGGCTGGGGTTTCTTGTATCAGGAGGATGTCCAGTCTGGTTTCCTCCGGTTTGTGATCGGCCTTGTCTTTGACTCACTCTGTAAGTTGAGAGTGGTTCATTAGCTCCTAATACAATGGGATCTTCTGCAGCACCCAAACCACTATTAGCTTCGCATGGATGGTCTGGCTGCGGCCTTCTCAGGTTCGACTGCTCCGAGAACTGTCAGTAGCAGTAGATCCTCCAGGTGCTTCAATTCCATTATTAGGTGACGGATTGCTGCCACCTCTGCCAATCCGGAGGAACTACTGAATCAGATATACCTTGCCTTTGATGTACTGGTAGACTCTCAATTATTGGAGCAATGCGTCCTTGTGGAATATTCGTCCTGCTATTATTATCAACTACACTCACAGCTTCTTCTTGAGAGGGAGTATGATGATTTGAAACTGAGCATGATCCTCCCATCTGTAAAAATACTACCACCAAATAATTTTTCTTAGTTAAGCTGCTGACATTATCTTTAACTAAAGAATCAAATTAAAATAAAGATAAAAAATTATTCTCCTTTAGGAAAAAACACATAAATCCCACTTTGAAAAAAGAAAAAGTACTTGTGGGGAACCTTTTGGAGATAAGCTGTAAGCAAGATGACAGTAATAGTTATATGCTCATTTATCATACATCCAAATTTTTTGAGGGTACACAACAACATTATGCCAGGAAAACTTTACAAACATTAAACATTGGCACAGTCTCTCAAAAAAGTATCTGTCCACTATATGAAACATTATGAGACCACAGATGATAGATACTAGGACATGCATTTACTTTGGTCTATAGTTTAACATAAGTACAATGCGCCTGGATAATTCATAATTTCTATTTTGCAGTCCTTGATTATTTGCGGATGACACCCTGGATGTACAGTGCTCAAGAATGTCTGCAGGTAGTTTTAAATTTGCGAACATTTTTCTGGCGGGACAGGGAGCCATTCATTCTACAGTCAGTAATTTCCTTTCCTGTACTATTGTATATAATAATACCTGTAATACTAAAAAATAATAATAATAATAATAATAATAGTAATAAACAGTTTATTCATAGAGTTGCAGCCAGTGGCTGAAAAATACAGACTTACATTTGATTTAGACATAATGATATAATATTCATTGAATACATTTACAGGGCTGTACAGTACAAAATCAGGAGTTGTTTATTATTTTAACAATAGATGGGATGGTGCTGTTCTTGTATCTATCAGTGCAGGCTCTTATGGGCTGAATTTTGTTATAGTGGCGGACTGCGTGGTGGGTGGGGGGCTGCGGTGGCAGGAGGTTGCGATGCGAGGTGGTTCATTAGTTGGCTGCCAAACCTTTCCAGTGCTTGGTGGTGGAGGTCACTGAGGATGGCATTTCCAGGGTGAAGAAAGGCGTTGGTGTAGCCTGGTATTCTGAGCCAAGCATGATTCTGCAGGCCCTTTTCTGTACCTTCTCTAGCTAACGATGTTGGGTGGAGTCGAGAGAAACGACCAGGCTGGTAGCTATCGTTAGTGTGTTGTGTGTGTGCGTGAACACAAACACATACGCACATATATCTGTATATACAATACAGGTAAAAAATAATAATTGTCCTAAGGGCAAACACATAAAGGGAATACACATTTCTTTGTACATAAGTAAATGTACCCCCATCCACAAATGTTATTCACGGTTTGGTGATTGTGCCATTTTAAGAACCTAACCTCCGTGAATTTGAAGGGCATGTTGTAATGCAAGGTGTATTTTGGCATAATTAATATGATGTTAGGTTACCAAATGTAGTAGAAACAGAATGCCACAGAGTCCGCATCCCAACCTTCGAAACATCACAAGTTGCATGTAGCATTTCGAAGTCAATGGACCCGTCCTAGCAGATACTGTCCTTTTAACAATACTGTACAGTACATCCATGGAAGTAGAAGAAAGTTAAGATGAAAAATAAATAAATTACTTTAATGCACTATGTGGGGTGAGCAGGATGCAGATAATGTGAAATATGGAAAGAAGTTAATGTAAGCATAAAGGAAATGTTTGGATAGACAGCCAATCACGGTCTTTGAAAGTTAGGTACCAACCAGCATTCTTCAGGTGGTAGACCATGAAAATGTGAAGCAAAAGTTTGATACTGTACATAATTCAGAAGCAAATGCTTGGAAAAAGACAGAGAGGGAAGAACAGGTTAAGGTAGGTGCCATATGGGACAGACGGAATAAATGATGTGTGTATGCATGTTTTTACAGCAATGTGTCAACTGATCTATGATGAACCACAAATCAGACAGCAGTTAAAAAGAAAAATAAACAGCTTATAAAGGAAAAGTTTGTACAAATTTCAATTCTAGCAGCAAGACAAGGAGAGGACTTGCAAAGGTGAGGAAAAAACTGCATGCAAAGTTTAAGGTCAAATGTACTGATAATTCTTATGATTAAAATTAACAGACACAAAACTTCAGCTGCACATTCCACTCTTCAGTGCCAGTCTATCGACATATTTGACAGTAGCCAAGTAGTACTTCTGTAGTTAATACAGTCAGCCCTTAACATATGCGGGTTTAGCTTACGCAGTTGCAAACAGCGGATTGCGCTGGAGGAATATACATTCAAGGAATATACATTATTCAAATCACGTCGACACCACACACACACAAACACATAGCAGCGCCACCCGGCGTTCGCTTCGCTCCGTCAGTCAGTTCGCTGTAACCACGCTTGTGTTGACATCAGCATTGTAGTTGCAAAAATATTACATTTCCGTGAATGATTATATCAAGCACAGTATGAATAGAATATCTCTAATATAAACAGTATTTTAACGAAAACTATTGAAAAGCAGGTAACATATCTTGAACATGAAGGCTAGGTAAAGTCTTGTTTCATGTAGTTTATCCTAATTTACATTGAAATGCATTACGTTCAACCAAAACTACTATTTATTTCTGAGAATATGGAAATGTAATATTTTTGCTGAAATGAAATCATCAATACAGTGAAGTGACGAATCATTGACTTTAGCTTCTTTCGTTCAAAGATGTTACCGTAATCGTTTTCGAATGGTTTCAGTTAAAAACTGTTGTATTACAATAATATTCCATCCTAATTCACTTGTGATGCAACAGTTTTAACTGAAAACCATTCGGCGATTACGGTAACATCTTTTGAAGAACCATGAGTCATTGCTTTTAAGTCACGATTTTATCCACTTTCCACTGTAATACGTCGTCATTTCAGCAAATATTACATTTCCGTGAATGTATTATATCAAGCACAGTATGAATAGAATATCATTGTAATATAACTATTTTACTAAAAACTATTAAAAAAGCGAGTAACATCTCTTGAACATCGGAAGGTTAGGTAAAGTCTTATGTTTTCCGTCATGTATTTTTATCCTATTTTACATTGAAATACATCACGTTTCCAGCAAAACTACTATTTATTTCTGAGAATATATTCATTCAGGTGCAGTTTAGGTAAAATATCGTGTGATGTAACAGTTTTTAACTGAAGCGAATTGAAAACACGTACCCTCTAGCCCTGTTCAAGGAGAAGACTGGGAGGAGCTGTTTGGTGCTTTAGGCGATGACAAGGAAAATGATTTTGGTGGATTTTAATGAAAACATTCAGAAATATGGTATCGTACTATTTATTCAAGCGAATTAGGATAGAGAATATTTATGTCGACAGTTTTTAACTGAAAACCATCGGCGATTACGGTAAAATCTTTTGAACAACGAAAGAAAGCGCGTCATTGTTTTCGTCATGATTTTATCACTTTCCACTGTAATCGTCGCGTCACTTCAGCAAAAATATTACATTTCCATATTTATTTCTGAGAATATATTCATTCAATCACAGTTAAGGTAAAATATACTTGTGATGTAACATTTAATGAAAAGACCGGTATTTAGAAATACGGTATCGTAGTTTTCTTTTGTTTCAAATTTAATTAACAAGATTGATGTTTCAAATATAATGAACAGAAATTTATGTATCATAAATAACTTTAAAAATGAATGCGTTATGTTTTACATCGTCTGTGCTACCGTACCATGCATTTGGCTACTTTGGGCTTGCTATGATGATGCAAGAGATCTGCCTGGCAACTGTACCAACACTCACAGCTGGTGGTGCGTCGTTTCCATTGTTTACTGGTAGTTACTGGTAAATATTTTTCTACCAAACAAAACTATTACCCGTTTAGAGAATTAGACCCCAATTTTTGCCAAAATTTGATCTTAAAACTCAGACTACACACATGTATATCACGGTAAATAAGGACATGGGGGCCATGGGTGTTTTTAGAGGCAGCAAAATAAGCGGATTTTTAACATTCAAAGTATCTCTGTTACCTAACCCCATGTATGTTAGGGGCAGACTGTACTATCGATGTTCATAACATCACATTTTCATAAAACCATCAAGTAAAATAAACTATTATTGAAAACAAGCTCAGTCACTAACATTAATGTGTAAAAAAAAAAAAAAAAAAAAAAAAAAAAAAAAGTAAAAGTTATCCAAATTATCAAAAATCCTTAAACACAAAGTGTTGATGGGTTACAAACATGACACTAAAAACATATCAAAGTCTGTATAATATTTTTCCAAGTAATTTCCTTTCTGAATAGTTAAGCAAATGTAAAACAGCACTTTTCAAACAAAATTTGCCAGATGTAGCCAATCAAGATTTATTCTTCTCTTTATTTTAAAAGGGGTTTCCTGCTAGATGCAATCCCATTTCTTTAATTAATTTTTTGGTAATCTCAGTTAGCCTCTTCCAGTTAATAACACATGAGGCAGCACAAAATAAAGATACTTATCCTGTTGCTCTCTGAGCAGTGTGTTGGCCTGGAGAAGATGCAAGTGACTAAAATACACCAGTCATATGGGCATGTTTTCATGAATATAATGTGGTAAGAGGCAATATCTCCGTTAGCGGAACAATTGGTGCAGACTACTTCTGGGAATGAGATTTCGGATGCGAACTCTCAAAGCCCGAAAAAACCCTCATCCCGGAATTTTACGGTGCGGAAAAATTTTCTCGGAATTTCCAAAAAAATGCGCCTGAATTTCACCTCTCAAACCTGGAAAAAACTCCCATCCCCAGAATTTTCCGGGCATCGAAAATTTTCTCGAATTCCAGAAAATGCTCGGAAAATTTAAATCCCAGCTATTAGACGGCTCCCTGTCCCGCCACAAAAATGCCAGCAACTAAAAACTACCCTAAGATATTCTTAGGTACAACCAAGGTGTCATCCGCAAATGTCGAGATTCGCTTGATGTCAGGGC